GGGTCTTTTTTATGTATATTATGTATGTATTTATATTTCTTGTCTAGTACCCATAAAACAAGTCGTCAGTACTCTGTTTAGCTCAGGACTAGATAGCGCTGTGTAAATTGATCTGAGATATTATTATTATATGTAACTATACATAGGTAATAATAATAATAATAATCTTAGGACAATTCACACAGCGCCATCTAAACCCAAGTTAAGCTAGCTGAAGCTTGTGTTATGGGTACTAGATAACTGATACAAATACATAGATAATTTTTTTTTCGTAAATACATACATATTATACATATAAAACACCCAGACCGATACAAACAATCATATTCATGAATACAAATGTTGTGCCGTGCGAGGAATTGAACCCGCGACCATCGGATGTAAAGCGGTGTGTATATAGGTAATAAGAAGAAAATATTGTTGTAGTGAGATTAATATTGAAGTTTAAAAAAAATTTAATAAAATTGTATTGTTGTTCCAGCCACTTACAACAGTAAAGTTATTTTATTGTACAGTAAAAAACTAAAAGTAAAAGGAAACAATGAGTACAATGGCGGAATTATCCCAAAATAGAGAATTCTTTCTTTGAAAGACTGAATAACGAATCCACGTTGTGGAAACAAAAGTTTTATCACCAAAATTGGTTCGCAGGGAAGAGAGAAACTGTTGTTTTTTTAAGTCGGCTAATGTGATTGTGAAAATGTCATTACGAAAACAAATTATGCGTTGATTAGCTCCCTTACTCTCCAAGGTAGTTTATTATATAAGTTGGTGTATATTTTTGTTTTCCTCAATCTCATAAATCGTATGTTCATGTTATTCGTTTATTATAATTATATTATATATATATATATATATATATATATATATATATATATATATATATATATGTATTTATTTACATCATAATCTTATATATAAAATTCTCGTGACAGTTTTCGTTCCCATACTCCTCCGAAATGGCTTGACCGATTCTCATGAAATTTTGTGAGCGTAGTGAGTAGGTCTGAGAATCGGCCAACATCTATTTTTCATCTCCCTAAATGTTAGGGGTAGTCCACCCCTAATTTTTTTTTTATTTTAAGGCAAAACAACGTTTTAGGTCTGAGAATCGGTTACTATATATTTTTCATACCCATAGTGGTAAGAGATATCCACCCCTAAATATATTTTTATTATATTTTCGACATAATATTTTATTTTAATTTTTTTATTATTTAGGATTGAAAAATACGTACGACCCTAAATTTTTACAATTCTAGCATCAACCCCTATTTTTAATAGCGATTTTAATTTATATGGCAAAAGAACGTTTGCCGGGACAACTAGTTAGATATAACAGAATTGAGACATACTACTGGTCGCCCAGTGGTAAAATGTACCATAATTAATTTAAATTAACTTATAATTTAAATTTATTATGGAATATTATTAATGTTCTATTGTCAAAGACTTTACTTTAATAACTAATATATATTGTAATATCTGAATTTATTATGGTTACGTTTGTCATTCAGGAAAACTATAGACAAATAAACTATAGAACATAAACACTATTAATTTATTCTGAATTTGGCCACAGACTAATACTATATAAAGTATAATAAACAAAGTACTCCTTTGCACTTACTAGGTATGTATGCGTTTGTGTGGTAGTTGTGTAATGTCTTTTTATTGTAAAATGTATTATAATGCATAATTTAAAAAGTATTTTAGTATACTGCGCTCATCTATACATATAAATAAAATTGCAGTGTCTGTATGTAATATTGAAATGACCGTTTTTTACTACATGCATATAAATATAAATACAGTACATACACCAAAATAAAATCCACGTCAAATTCCACGCGGACGAAGTCGCGAGAACAGCTAGATCTCTATATAAACTATAAATGTGCAAAATTTCGAACTCCTTCTGCGCAATTTTGAAAAAGGGGTACAAAGTATTAATATAGATAATTGCAAACTCTCCTGACGCTCTGTGATTATCGCCTACGTAAATTTAAAATCGAAATCTTCAACCTTATTTGAAATAGATGAAGAACTATCTAGAGAATTTCTTAGAACAAAATACGGGAAGCTGTGTGTTTAATAAATAATAACACATCAAAATCATCATCTGAAATTGGTTTAACCCTTACAAAAGAGGGTAAGTCTCTCGGGAAAGTAACCCAACGTACCTTTCTGTTAACTGTCGACACGTCTTATGGATATAAATAATAATGGAGCTTTTTATATATAGTGAGAGAGTAAGACCTTTTATTTGCATCTGTTTATACATATCATAGTATAAAATAAAGTCGCTATAGCAGTCTGTCCGTCCCTATGTATGCTTAAATCTTTAAAACTACGCAACGGATTTTGAAGCGGTTTTTTAATGGATAGAGTGATTCTAGAGGAAGGTTTATATGTGTAATGAGCGAGTAGCTAGTATAATATAAAATGAAGTGTATGAAGTCTGTTCGCCTAGATCTTTTGAACTACGCAACAGTTTTTAATGCAGTTTTTAGCAATCGATAAAATTCAAGAGTAAGGTTTATATGTATTATATAATACATGTACACCTGTGCGAAGTTGGGTGTGTAGATACGAATAAAAGAAAATGGGTAGATTTAAGTATTACATAAATACATCTGTATAAATACAAAAAGGCCTTATTGCTATTAAGTTTTCAAGGCAACATTTATGATAACTGATTGAATCCCGCCAAAAGCTAATGTAACTTAAGCTACTTTAGTTTTAAATATTTTAATAAAAAAAGTTAAATTCTACTATATATATGGCTTCTTAATGTGGGAAATTGTTTTTTTGTTTGTAATACTTTATTGTAAATTTACATTATAAATAAAAGGACACAAATGACTTAATAATTAATTGTATTATGAATATTATGTGGATACTGCATGGTGTAGCATATTCCCTTATTAAACAGTCTCAATCAAAACGTCTTTCTGTTAGCATCTTCGTCCTGCACCTTGACACTTAATGGTGAAAGAATTTAAAACAATAATAAATTAGCAGATGTGATGATAAAAGCTTACGGCTGGGCATAACTTAGATAATGTACCCGAAACTTAGCAGCATGTTTATTAACAATGCGGCCAGCAGTCTAACTTGTCATATTTTCAACAAAGCCGGCATGCCTACTTTGTTGCTTTGTTACGACACTAACGTTGCAGCAAAGTTCCAGAATATTCCAAATACTATGTCATAACAAGTTTGAAAGTTTCAAATTTACCAGTTGAGTTTCTTGTCTGTTGAATTGGCCTAGTTTATTGTTATTATCAAGAATCTTGACACAAGTTTGCTCGCAAATGTATGAAGTTTAGTTTTAATGCCCAAAATGACTTCACGAGAAAGGGAAAGGAGATTGTTGTTAATGTGGAGTAGTAATCTCATTGCTAGCAATGTATGGTACATTCACCATCATACATCAGGTTGTCCTCCACGTGGTTCCGCCTGGAAACCATCACTTACTTACACGGAATTTATCAGGATGGCTAACTGACCTCAGTTCATCTTCATTTTATCATCCTTCACTGGTGCCACGCTAGTGTAATCTGTTAGAGCAGGCGTGTACACCATTTCAATAATCTATACATCTATATACATATAAATAAAATTGGAGTGTCTGTTTGTAATATTGAAATAACTATTTTTTACTACATGCATATGAATATATATATATGGTACATATACCAAAATAATATTTTAGGAAAAAAAAGTATAAAAATCAATTCTACGCGGACGAAGTCGCGGGAACAGCTAGTAATTAAAATATAATAAAAAAAAAAAATTAATATATGGTCAAGCGCAGTGACGGCGATACAAATACATAGATAATATTTTTTCCTTAAATACATACTGGTCTGGGTGATTTCTATGTATAATGTATACATAGAAAACACCCAGACCGATACAAACAATCATACTCATGAATACAAATGTGCCGTGCGAGGAATCGAACTCGCGGCCATCAGATGAAAAGCGGTGTGCTAGACTGCTAGCTCACCGAGGTCGTCAAAGTTTCTCGCTCGTTCTTCTTGTGATAAGATATCTTTCTGTGCGGTAGATTAAAAGAACAATAACTGTGACTATTCAAAAGTACTTAAATCTTCTAAATATATATAAGTCAAAGGTGACTGACTGACATAGTGATCTATCAACGCACAGCCCAAACCACTGGACGGATCGGGCTGAAATTTGGCATGCAGATAGATGTTATGACGTAGGCATCCGCTAAGAAAGGATTTTGGTTAATTCTACCCCCAAGGGGATAAAATAGGGATAAAAGTTTGTATGAAACTTTGTTAATTTTAAATCAATCGGACTGAGACTTTGCATACATAAAGCTATTATGACGTAGACATCTCCTAAGAAAGAATTTTGATGAATTTCACCCCTAAGGGGTTAAATTAACGCGAACGAAGCCGCGGGCAAAAGCTAGTTAAGTATATTTGAATAATGAATTTCTATTCTATACTATCATCCATAAGAGTTCACGAGTAATTCTCATTTTTTACAAGCATTGTTGATATACAAGATAACAATTTTTTACAACCATAATTATAATTTATAGATACACAAATTCCAGCCCCACAGAGTCGCTGTTAGAGCAATAAAATTGAGTAATAAAATAAATTTATTCCTTACTCTAAGGCAAAAGCTCATTCTTTTCTGCCAAACGAATTGATGTCTATACGTCTCTAGTGGGAAATTATTTCCACCTATTCAGTTTATGACCGAATTTATCATGCCAATGGGGAGTCACGCGATCATTCGACCCGTGTAGATATTGGACCCTCGGCTACGTCGTAAGACTTATTTTTTTTTATCGATATCATAGTATCATACACATCCAGAGTATACGTGGGACTAGGTGCTATCTTTGCAAAAGAATCGTCAAAACCGGTTTACATTCCTATGCTAAATTGTCATTGTCACACCAGTTGAATAAAATATATGTAAGTATAAACTTTTTTGTTTGTTTGTTTCAGTTGGAGAATGTACAACTATTGGATAAATACAACTTACGAAATCCATCAAAGGGCACGCTGTATTTCGCCACCACTCATCTTATTTTCGTCGACCATGAAATGAGTAAAGAGACATGGGTAAGTTTATGAGTGATATTAAAACAAAGATAAAATAAGCATCTAATGGTAACATTAGTGACCAATATTCGTTTGAGTGTACTATAATATTGTAATAATTGCTTAAATCTAAGTGGCTTATTTCTTAGGTACATAGATAGATAGGTTTTAACTTTGTTTAAATCAACAGTTACACATACAATATCACATTGTGAAATATAATGAAATATTTTGAAACTAAAATTTTTTGCTTTTTGAGTTATATAAAATCTATACTTTTTTTATAATATACTAACTGTGCTCCAGGTTTCGTTAAATTTCAATATAGCCTGTGTTATTCTGATGCATAAGCTATATTACTGCAAAGTATCATCAAAATCCGTTCTGTAGTTTTTGAGTGAAAGAGTAACAAACATCCATACTTGCAAATTTTCGCGTTTATATTATTAAGATTAAGATGTACAGTCAGGCAAAGAGGGAGTAACACAGTGAATTATTTACTTAGAAAGAGGAAACATTTCTTGTATATGCTTTTTTAATTACTTTTTACTAATTTTTATGGCGCTCACACATTATTTGTAGCCGTCAGAGTCTAAAGCCCAATAAGTCCCAAGCTAAGCACCCAGACGAATAGAAACAATCATTCTTATGAATATAAATTTTTGTTTGTACTAATTTATTAATTGAAAAGTAGTTGGGATCATTAGTAGATAGTAATTTCTTTATCTATGGTATATGATTTATGACATTATGTTCCTCTCCATTTCATTACCTAGTATAAAACAAAGTCGCTGTGGCTGTCTGTCCGTCCCTATGTATGCTTAAATCTTTAAACCTACGCAACGGATTTTGAAGCGTTTTTTTTAATAGATGGAGATTCAAGAGGAAGGTTTATATGTATAATACATGTACACCCGTGCGAAGCCGGGGCGAATAGCTAGTATATTATAAAATAGGTCTCAGTTAAACATGAATATAGATTTTATCTAACTATCCTTGGGGAAAGTTTTAGATCGAAGAAGTCATTAATTTTTTTGAAACCAAAATTCTACCGAAGCCATTTTTAGACTAATTAGGCACCTACTTAGAACTGAGGCAGAGTCTGCAAACTTTTCAGTGTTTTTACAATCTATTTATTTTTAATCTCAGTGGTTTTTGTGTTTGTTTTTTCTTATTTTTTTATGTTATAGGTAGAGATATTTACGCCTCTCGTCCTTGCTATTCGACAAGCCACTGACATTTATGGAAAATTTTAATCTCAATCGTTTTTAGTGCTGGCCGAGATTGTTTGTAAGTTATAGGTACGGCCCTCGATGGTCTAGCGGCTTAGCACACCGTGTTGCGTGTTACACCGGCTGTGCGTTGAGTTGAGCTCGTTGAGTTTAGCACACCGTTTTAGTTCGATGGTCGCGGGTTCGATTTCACGCACCATGCAAGTGACGGTGTCTATTGCAAATGTATTTTGGACATTGTATTTTTATGTTTAGTTTGAATTATTTGATATTTTTATTAAATTATTATTTGCACAATTTGACCCACTCAAGACTTCAAAATATGACTATTCAAAACCACTATTTCTATGACTCTATTGGGTTGACTGGAAGAGATCTCTTTTAGAGATAAGTTCTCCTTTGTTAAGATTATTTCTAATTAATATACATTATATATATGTAAAGAATATATATATCTTTATATGAACCATATCATCCGTCATCACTTGTCCATATGAACCTACGTTCAAATGGAGAAGAAGTCATGACAAATCAGCTGATGTTCCACGAATCACTGTTTATATAATAAGACGCCATTTTGTGCCCGCTACTCATAAAAAGCCAGAAGTGATAACAGTTTCGTCCACTTGTTCCAGATATTGCTGATGCATATATCCTCAGTGGAGCGGCTGCCGATCACGACCACCGGCTCGCCGCTGCTCGTCCGCACAAAGACCTTCCAATCTGTGTTCTTCGTGATCCCACGCGAGAGAGATTGCCACGAGATGCACCAAACGCTGTTACGTCTTAGTCAACCGGGTAAGCCATAACACTATGTTTATATACATATATTGACATTTGACGATCTTGTTGTTGTTTAACGCCCTACTTTCGATGGTTGCGGGTTCTATTCCTCGCACGATCCAAATATTTGTCGATCATACATTTGTAAACATATTAATATATAAAAATTTGCACACCTGTATTAAGGCTGAATACACTGGATGTTATATCTAACATCGTATAAGCACTGTATTCTGCAATGATTTAATTTTAATTTTAATTAATATTAAAATTGTTTTTCAATTCGATTCGACCAGTATTTCCTGAGGTTAAACCTTTGAACCAAAAAAACTTTAATATAATATTGCATGTACTGTCCGTTCGTATATTTTAGCTTTTCTACTTATCTATTGCAGTACACATAGACGAGTTGTACTGTTTTCACTACAAATCGTCACCGGACGAGCTACCGAAGTCGGCCGGGTGGAACTTCTTCGACATACAGACAGAATATCAAAGGATGAATGTGCCAAACGAGCATTGGGTGTTATGTACAGCGAATAAAGGTTATGAGGTAAGAATTCATTACAAGACTCATAGTTTTCTTAATGGATGGTATTTTTTATGGATGGTAATGGAATGGTGCACCCGCCTTCGCTAACGGTTTACGCTGGCGAGGCGCCAGTGGAAGATGATAAGATGAGCATGAGGTCAAGTCAGTTAGCACATCGTGACAAATTCACCAAGAATTTATAACGATGGTTTTCAGGGGGAACCGCGTGGAGGTCAACCTGACATGGTACATTGCTAGTAATGTGGTCATGAGTCCACATTATTAACAATCCTCTTCCCCCCAATGGATGATATTGCTTTGATGCCGTCGCTTGCGCTAACGGTTTACGCTGGCGGGGTTCCAGTGGAGGATGAGGTCAGGTCAGTCCATTACATTATGAATTTATCACGATGGTTTCCAGGAGGAAACATGTGGAGGTCAATCTGACCCCTCCCCCCCTAAATTAGATATTATGTGTATGAATTATAAGTACATGGTATCATACATTGCTAGCAATGGGGTTATTAGTCCACATTTCTAACTACCCCTTTACCCCTTCAATGTACTTCTCTAATGAATTTTGTAATATCTGTATGTTACAAAAAATTGTTTGCCTGTATGTTAATGGAATAGTGCACCCCCTAATCTAATCGTTTACGCTGGCGGGGTACCAGTGGCGGATGATAAGATGAGCATGAGGTCAAGTCTGATTGTAAATTCATCATGAATTTATCACGATGATTTCCAGGGTGATCCATGTGAAGGCCAACTTGATATTGTACATTGCTAGCAATGGGATTAGTCCACATTACTAACAATCCCAATGTACTTCTCTAATAAACTTTGTAATATTTGTATGTTACAAAATAATGTTTGCCAACAGCTGTGTGATACGTACCCCAGTGAGATCTACGTGCCGGCGAAGGCGACCTCGGCTGTGCTCCTCGGTAGCGCCAGCTTCAGGTCCCGGGGTCGACTCCCGGCGCTAGCTTACTTGCATCACAACAAAGCCGCTATAGCACGCTGCAGTCAGCCATTGAGTGGGTTCTCTGCTAGGTGAGCACACTTTTATGAGCGACTAGATAATAAAAAAAACTTACACGTGATAAGTAACTAAAATGTCTTAACTAAACTTTAATAATGATTTAAAATTTATTACCTAAATTTTACTAATATTTTAGCTCTATTTTCTCTAAAACAATGTAATGTGATGTATCTTGTATATAAGTCATTCTAAAATAAAATAATAGAATATCTTTAACAACAATAATTTTGGTATAAATTATGACCTAAATTTACCACTATATATGTAGGAATCTTTCTAGACCATAATGCGCCGCTTACTAATTTCTTTCTTTAACTTAGGTGTTAAGTTCGCTATATATACATTTATATATTGTATTTATGCATTAAAGTATGACTAAATAAAATAAATAAATAATTATTCAATTCTTCACAGATGCATGGAAGATGAACAGATGCTGGACTTAATCCGACGTTCGAATCCAAATTGCGGTTATATGTATGTTGTCGATACTAGGCCTCGGGTAAGTTCATAATATAGAATACATAATTTAGTTTATTAGAGAAGTAATAATGTTTATGAGTATATTTATTTTGAGGGCCTTATATTGGCTACTGGCTGTGCACATAAAAAAGTAGCCTATGTTATTTCTCAGGGTCTAGATTATTTGTGTGCCAAATTTTATTTTAATTAAGTTTAAGTCCAATAGTTTTGGCGTGAAAGCCAAACAGAAAGACAGACAGAGTTATTTTCGCTTTTATAATATTAGTAAGGATTATTCCTATACTACAATTACGTCTATGCTCCAACGATAATGTTGTTGATCAGACTATATATCAGTTTTACGAAGAAGCCAATGAATACCATGATCCAGAAATCAATAGCTGTTGCGATGGCCACCTTCTGGTGCTCTTTTCTACTTAGTGCACCTCCAATTGAATGGAATCCTTAGCGAACTGCTTGCCTAGCTCGACAAACTTTGCAATTTGTGATCCATTTTGTATTAGTTTATTATGTATTACAAATGTGAACAAAATTGATAATTTATATTTCTATATTGTCTGTTCTTATGTATTTGGAACAATATACAAGCTCAATCCACTCAATAGTAGGTGGAAGCCGTCAACTATATACATAAACATAACCGTTAACGGATATCACGTTACCGGTTATGTTTATGTATATAGTTGACGGCTTCCACCTACTATGGACCAATGGAGCAATAATGACTTGTCACATTTATGATTATTCAGATTAATGCCATGGTGAACCGAGCAGCTGGCAAAGGTTACGAGAACGAGGCATTCTACGAGAATATCAAGTTCCAGTTCATGGGTATTGGCAACATCCACGTGATGAGGAAGAGCCTTCAGAAACTAGTCGAAAGTATGTATCAACTGACGTTTGTTGTTTTGAAACTGTTTCGTAAAAAAAATATTATGATTGTGGAAAAATTATATGGGAGTATAACGGTAGTATATTCTGGTTCAGTATGGAAGTAAAACGGTAGTATATTCTGGTTTAGTATGGGAGTAAAATGATAGTATATTCTGGTCATCGAAACAGTCAGCGGTAGGCTCGTCCCTTGCAACGTGGATTTTAAAGTTTTGCTGCAGACAAACTGCTAATTAGCTTAACGGCTTGGTGTATTAAATTTGTGTGAAAATAATATACGGAGTCAAATGTGGCCATGTCAAGTATTGTGTTCACTACAATTCAAAAATCTAACTTTAAACGAATAAGAACGTAAAATTTTTCAATTATTTTTCCCTACCGTCCAGTTCAGTAGGTGTACAGATTCAATTGAGAAGAACATGGAACTCAACTGAATTTCTTACAAAAAGCCAGATGACAATGTCTCTGACTACCGCATCTTTGATACCAGTTGTGACGGTATGTTTTCTTATTTAGTTAAGGTTTGGTAATTATTTATTAATTATAAATATTATGTTTCAGCATGCGAACAAAACACACCCACTATGTCGTCATTTCTCAGTGGTCTGGAGTCGTCTGGTTGGCTCAAGCATATCAAGTGAGTTGGAAAAATCTATATATATATATATATTCATCAGCTGCTTACACGTACACTCTTTCACGCGCGAGTCCGCTTTCGCGCGAATGCGCACCGCCGTCTCGGGCATCTCGCGTCTTTAATGCCTTTTTGATATCATTAAATATAGTTTGTGTGTGTGTCTCCAAATTGAGCAAGGTTTCATTACAGAGTTATTGAAATAAACGTATTTTTGGTAAATAATATCTGTGGAATATAAATAATAGTAATGAAAGTGATATGACATACGCGTAAAATGCTCAACGACTCGTTTTTTAACGCGTGATTAGGAGCGCTCTGTATTGCATGTTAAAGAACGTGTAATGTAAAGCCATTCAGCGGTGGAAGATCATAAAAAATCGTCGGGTGAGATTAGGCAGTCATATTACGACATAGACCGTCATTTCAGTCGGTATGGTATCACTGGTGTCACATCGTAATTTGATGTCCGTAATGTTGTTCATGTATATAGGCGACGTTATTGGTTATCATATATTGGGCTGTCAGTTTGTTTGCCATTCAAATTACTCAAAAAAACTAAGATATTTAAGCACTTTTGTAATATTAAGGTTCAGAGGGAGGAAGAAATGTGAAGGTATTTATAAAGTATTGATGTCATTTATTTTTCTGATTTTTTCCAGATCGATATTGGACACGTCGTGGTGGATTGCGTGCGCAATCGACAGCGGTGTAAGCGTGTGCGTGCACTGTAGTGACGGTTGGGACCGCACCGCGCAAGTGTGCTCGCTCGCCGCACTATGTCTGGAGCCTCACTACCGCACCATCAACGGGTACCAGGTAATCTTTCCAATATTATAAACGCCAATGTATGTATGATATAGCTGGACAGATGGATCTTTGTTACTCTTTCACGCAAAAAGTATTGAACAGATTTTGATGATACTTTACTGTAATATAGCTTAGACATCAGAATAACACATGGGATTTAATTGAAAATATATTATGTAAATTGAGCGAAATATAATGATAAATGTTATGCAAATACAATTGCGCGGGTCAGCTATTAATAATAATAATTACCCTCAACTATTCACACTGTGATTTAGCCCCAAGATAAACAGAGCTTTTGTTATTGATATTAGAAACACCCAGATCAATACAATCATACTCATGCAAATGTTTGCATCGTGCGAGGGATCGAACTCGCGACCATCGGCATAAAGGTGTGCTAAACGCCTAGAACACGGAAGCAACACGGAATCTGTATATATAAGAAAACAACATCTTTCTCTACTTTACTTGAAAGAGCAACAAGCAATTTTCTTGCTCATTCTTTTTGTGAGGAGTCTGCGTTCCGAATAAGTGATAGCATACAAAAATATGAGTATTCAAAACTGTTTATATTAAGTTGTTTATTTCAATAAAGATTATTTCTATTTCTCCCCCAGTTATGAGCAAGTATATAAGTATAAATTCCGAATAAGTGGTAGACTAAAAAATATGGCTAGTCCAAAGTGTTTATTTTATTATAAATTATATATATTTATCTTTAACCTCGCCCCCAAATGTACTTTCTCTCACCTACTACTTTATATTGGCCACAATAATTGTCAATTTCACAAACTGTAACGTTCAATTTGTTCACAGGCGTTAATAGAAAAAGATTGGCTGTCGTTCGGTCACAAGTTCACGGCGCGGTGCGGGCATATCGCGTGCGACGGTCGGGAACGTTCGCCAGTGTTCACACAGTTACTCGACTGCACATGGCAATTACTGCGACAGCGGCCCGAGGTACTGTCGTGGGAATTATATAATAAGTTGCCTACAGATTTTGAAAGTTTATTATGTAAGGATGAATTTAATTGTGTGTGCAGGCATTCCAGTTCAACGAGAGATTCCTTCTAACGTTGCATGACCACGCCCACGCCTGCCAGTACGGCACATTCATTGGCAACTGCCAGAAGGACCGACGGGATCTCAGGTGAAATTCTGTTTTTTTTTTTATTATATATAGTAGTATATATATAGTAGGTACTACCAAAAGAAAGAATGAAACTCTTCTAATCTTAATATAAGCACTTTTGAGTAGTCATGTAATATTTTTTTATTTTACCGCTCATTAGCAAAGCAGCCTCATCACAACAATAAGCAAGAAAGTTGCGTGCTTGCTCTAAAATATTCGTTAATTAATCTTTTATTTGATGGTCTTATTTTTTAAATTAGACTTTTATCTTGAACTTTGGATATTTAAATGTTTATTAATAAAAATAAATTTTAACACTGTCTAAATGTATAAATTTTACATGAATGTATTTATATAGTTAAATTTTCTTTTTAGATACCTAATTTAAACCCAGATAGACTTCCTAAAAAGTCGTCTGCATGGGTATTCTATTTAAATTATGTTTAGGGTTTTATTAGGCAGTACAATTACAGAATAACATGTATGACATCTTTGTCCTCCGGAATGGGAACACTTGAGTGGTATCACAATATCAATTAACATAGTAAGCACTTACTTTAATATACTAAGCACTTACCGTCAGATAGACCGTGAGTTTGTTTCCAATTAGACAAAAAAAAATTAGAATTAACCCTCAATATTCAAGAGCAGGATATATTTTTTATTAATTTAAACAATATATTTTTATTATCAATCGTTAATATTCAATTCCAGATTGTCTGAACGCACATTTTCACTTTGGGGTTATATGGCGAACCACTTAAATGAATACAAAAATCCACTATACAATCCAAAGGCCCACCCTGATGTGCTGAAACCGGACTTAAGTGCACAGAGCATAAGGTAACTAATACAATGAAGAAATATATATATATATATGATCGTAGTGAAAATGCCGTCAGCCACTAAGTCGGCCATGTTTCCGCCAATTTTGTGTGAAAAAAAATACATAAATCAATATTTAAAGGGGTGTGTGTGTACCTTTAAGGTTTAGATCTAAGACCTGCTTCGTTGGGAACCTGTAACCTTTAAATCATACAGTCCGAGTGTAGATGGCACTCCAAACCCTCGAAAGGACTAGACTCGGAAGGATACGACTTTAGTCTGAGGGCACCGCTAGGGGTTCGAACCTCGACTCAGGCCATCGTAATTTCGATCCCCGTTTGAAATGTAGAAAGTACTTGTATGCCGCTACAAATATATATATTGAAGATAATATGTTCCAGAGTTAATAAAAGTATTTTTATTTATATATTTTTAAGTATTTCCATTTTCCAACTTGTGACTAAAATAGATAGAAATAGAAATAATCTTTATTCAAATAAACTCATTACAAGCACTTTTGAATAGTCATATTTTGATTCTACCACTCATTCGGAATGCAGATTCATCACAAGAAGAATGAGCAAGAAACTTGTGTGTTGTTTTTGAATAGATGTTTTTTATGTAAATAATTACTGACTGTTAAAGTATTTCTAAATATGATGTATGTAAAGGTTCTGGCGAGGGATGTACTATATATACTCCCGGCCGCCGTCGAGCACTGCTCCGCCCTCGAGCATCATATCAGCTACCTCACCAAGGTACGCGGAAGAACACTAAAGTATTCTTACAGTCAATCGAAAATTAATAAATAACCCTGAATTTACACAGCGCCATCTAGTACCACGGTAACCAAAGCTCGTGGTATGGGTACTAGACAACGTATATAAATACATAGATATATTTTTTAAATATATACACAATATACATAGAAAACACCCAAACACATACAAACTCATGAATACAAATGTTTGTACCGTGCGTTTCCACGCACGGTACAAACATTTGTATTCATGAGTTTGTATGTGTTTGGGATCGAATCCGCGACAATTGGAAGTAACGCGGTGTGCTAAACCGCTAGACCCCGAGTCCGTCTACCTAGGAAAGGGTATGCTAAGCACTGTAAAATACCATTATTAAATTTAACATTACTAATAACTAATTGATCTCACATATGAATTTTGAAAGCGATTATTTGTTTTTTTCATACAAAAATATACATGTATTATTTATTACAAGGAATCGTCAACCCTATTCTATAACAGCTCACGTTCTTGATTAGTGCTATGGTAAGTAGGGCACAAAAACAAGCCTTCAATTTTCATTAATAAAAACTATCAATGAGATTACATATTTTGCTATTATGATATAGAGCAAGAGCCCACGACTGCCAGACATACGTCATTTTAATAAACGTGAAAGTTCTTGTATGTGTGTCCCCAACACAGGTAAGAACGATCCCCAAATATGAAACCTGGATCGTGGTTCCTTTGGCAGGTACCAGGTAACAAAGGTGTAAAAAAAATCATACCAAATTCGTTATTTTAAGAAACTCCATATTTTCATATATTGTTCGTAGCACCATTATAGCTTGCGCTGCTCATTGCCAGACACGTAGTGTGGTTCCAACCCCCCGCCGGACCCCCCTAAACTATACTATTTTAGAAATAAACTTACGTCATTTTAATAAAGCTGAAATTTATATATATTATTGAGAGTTCTCTCAAACTGAGTTTCCTAAATTGCCAGACAGTTTTCTTGGTTCCTTATCCTACCAGACTTATTGAAACCGTATATTGGGTAACAACGGTGTATACAATTTCATATCAAATTCGTTATTTTAAGATGCTCCATTTTTTCACATATTGCTCGTAACAGTATTATAACTTGCTCTGCTCATTGCCAGACCCTTAGTGTGGTTCCAACCCCCCGCCGGACCCCCCTAAACTATACAATTTTATAAATAAACTTACGTCATTTTAATAAAGCTGAAATTTATATATATTATTGAGAGTTCTCTCAAACTGAGTTTCCTAAATTGCCAGACAGTTTTCTTGGTTCCTTATAATACCAGACTCATTGAAACCGTATATTGGGTAACAACGGTGTATACAATTTCATATCAAATTCGTTATTTTAAGATGCTCCATTTTTTCACATATTGCTCGTAACAGTATTATAACTTGCTCTGCTCATTGCCAGACCCTTAGTGTGGTTCCAACCCCCCGCCGGACCCACCTAAACTATACTATTTTGTAAATAAACTTACGTCATTTTAATAAAGCTAAAATTTATATATATTATTGAGAGTTCTCTCAAACTGAGTTTCCTAAATTGCCAGACAGTTTTCTTGGCTCCTTATAATACCAGAATCATTGAAACCGTATATTGGATAACAACGGTGTATACAATTTCATGTCAAATTCGTTATTTTAAGATGCTCCATTTTTTCACATATTGCTCGTAACAGTATTATAACTTGCTCTGCTCGTTGCCAGACCCTTAGTGTGGTTCCAACCCCCCGCCGGACCCCCCCCAAACTATACTATTTTATAAATAAATTTACGTTATTTTAATAAAGCTGTAATTTATATATATTATTGAGAGTTCTCTCAAACTGAGTTTCCTAAATTGCCAGACAGTTTTCTTGGTTCCTTATCCTACCAGACTTATTGAAACCGTATATTGGGTAACAACGGTGTATACAATTTCATATCAAATTCGTTATTTTAAGATGCTCCATTTTTTCACATATTGCTCGTAACAGTATTATAACTTGCTCTGCTCATTGCCAGACCCTTAGTGTGGTTCCAACCCCCCGCCGGACCCCCCTAAACTATACAATTTTATAAATAAACTTACGTCATTTTAATAAAGCTGAAATTTATATATATTATTGAGAGTTCTCTCAAACTGAGTTTCCTAAATTGCCAGACAGTTTTCTTGGTTCCTTATAATACCAGACTCATTGAAACCGTATATTGGGTAACAACGGTGTATACAATTTCATATCAAATTCGTTATTTTAAGATGCTCCATTTTTTCACATATTGCTCGTAACAGTATTATAACTTGCTCTGCTCATTGCCAGACCCTTAGTGCGGTTCCAACCCCCCGCCGGACCCACCTAAACTATACTATTTTGTAAATAAACTTACGTCATTTTAATAAAGCTAAAATTTATATATATTATTGAGAGGTCTCTCAAACTGAGTTTCCTAAATTGCCAGACAGTTTTCTTGGTTCCTTATAATACCAGAATCATTGAAACCGTATATTGGATAACAACGGTGTATACAATTTCATATCAAATTCGTTATTTTAAGATGCTCCATTTTTTCACATATTGCTCGTAACAGTATTATAACTTGCTCTGATCGTTGTCGAACCAAGAAAACTGTCTGGCAATTTAGGAAACTCAGTTTAATAGTTCTCTCAATAACATATATAAAGTTCTTTAGTATTAGTAGTTTATTTATTTATAAAATAGTATAGTTTAGGGGGGTCCGGCGGGGGGTTGGAACCACACTAAGGGTCTGGCAATGAGCAGAGCAAGTTATAATACTGTTACGAGCAATATGTGAAAAAATGGAGCATCTTAAAATAACGAATTTGATATGAAATTGTATACACCGTTGTTACCCAATATACGGTTTCAATGAGTCTGGTAGGAAAAGTAACCAAGAAAACTGTCTGGCAATTTAGGAAACTCAGTTTGAGTGAATATATATATATATATATATATATAAAATAACGTAAATTTATTTATAAAATAGTATAGTTTGGGGGGGTCCCGCGGGGGGTTGGAACCACACTAAGGGTCTGGCAACGAGCAGAGCAAGTTATAATACTGTTACGAGCAATATGTGAAAAAATGGAGCATCTTAAAATAACGAATTTGATATGAAATTGTATACACCGTTGTTACCCAATATACGGTTTCAATGAGTTTGGTAGGATAAGGAACCAAGAAAACTGTCTGGCAATTTAGGAAACTCAGTTTAATAGTTCTCTCAATAATGTGTATAAGGTTCAGCTTTATTAAAATGACGTAAGTTTATTTATAAAATAGTATAGTTTAGGGGGGTCCGGCGGGGGGTTGGAACCACACTAAGGGTCTGGCAATGAGCAGAGCAAGTTATAATACTGTTACGAGCAATATGTGAAAAAATGGAGCATCTTAAAATAACGAATTTGATATGAAATTGTATACACCGTTGTTACCCAATCTACGGTTTCAATGAGTCTGGTATGATAAGGAACCAAGAAAACTGTCTGGCAATTTAGGAAACTCAGTTTGAGAGAACTCTCAATAATATATATGAATTTCAGCTTTATTAAAATGATGTAAGTTTATTTATAAAATAGTATAGTTTAGGGGGGTCCGGCGGGGGGTTGGAACCACACTATATCTGGCAATGAGCAGAGCAAGTTATAATACTGTTACGAGCAATATGTGAAAAAATGGAGCATCTTAAAATAACGAATTTGATATGAAATTGTATACACCGTTGTTACCCAATATACGGTTTCAATGAGTCTGGTAGGATAAGTAACCAAGAAAACTGTCTGGCAATTTAGGAAACTCAGTTTGAGTGAACTCTCAATAATATATATAAATTACAGCTTTATTCAAATAACGTAAATTTATTTATAAAATAGTATAGTTTGGGGGGGTCCCGCGGGGGGTTGGAACCACACTAAGGGTCTGGCAACGAGCAGAGCAAGTTATAATACTGTTACGAGCAATATGCGAAAAAATGGAGCATCTTAAAATAACGAATTTGATATGAAATTGTATACACCGTTGTTACCCAATATACGGTTTCAATGAGTTTGGTAGGATAAGGAACCAAGAAAACTGTCTGGCAATTTAGGAAACTCAGTTTAATAGTTCTCTCAATAATATATATAAAGTTCAGCTTTATTAAAATGACGTAAGTTTATTTATAAAATAGTATAGTTTAGGGGGTCCGGCGGGGGGTTGGAACCACACTAAGGGTCTGGCAATGAGCAGAGCAAGTTATAATACTGTTACGAGCAATATGTGAAAAAATGGAGCATCTTAAAATAACGAATTTGATATGAAATTGTATACACCGTTGTTACCCAATATACGGTTTCAATGAGTCTGGTAGGATAAGTAACCAAGAAAACTGTCTGGCAATTTAGGAAACTCAGTTTGAGTGAACTCTCAATAATATATATAAATTACAGCTTTATTAAAATAACGTAAATTTATTTATAAAATAGTATAGTTTGGGGGGGTCCCGCGTGGGGTTGGAACCACACTAAGGGTCTGGCAACGAGCAGAGCAAGTTATAATACTGTTACGAGCAATATGTGAAAAAATGGAGCATCTTAAAATAACGAATTTGATATGAAATTGTATACACCGTTGTTACCCAATATACGGTTTCAATGAGTTTGGTAGGATAAGGAACCAAGAAAACTGTCTGGCAATTTAGGAAACTCAGTTTAATAGTTCTCTCAATAATATATATAAGGTTCAGCTTTATTAAAATGACGTAAGTTTATTTATAAAATAGTATAGTTTAGGGGGGTCCGGCGGGGGGCTGGAACCACACTAAGGGTCTGGCAATGAGCAGAGCAAGTTATAATACTGTTACGAGCAATATGTGAAAAAATGGAGCATCTTAAAATAACGAATTTGATATGAAATTGTATACACCGTTGTTACCCAATATACGGTTTCAATGAGTTTGGTAGGATAAGGAACCAAGAAAACTGTCTGGCAATTTAGGAAACTCAGTTTAATAGTTCTCTCAATAATATATATAAGGTTCAGCTTTATTAAAATGACGTAAGTTTATTTATAAAATAGTATAGTTTAGGGGGGTCCGGCGGGGCGTTGGAACCACACTAAGGGTCTGGCAATGAGCAGAGCAAGTTATAATACTGTTACGAGCAATATGTGAAAAAATGGAGCATCTTAAAATAACGATTTTGATATTAAATTGTATACACCGTTGTTACCCAATATACGGTTTCAATGATTCTGGTGGAATAAGGAACCAAGAAAACTGTCTGGCAATTTAGGAAACTCAGTTTGAGAGAACTCTCAATAATATATATAAATTTCAGCTTTATTAAAATGACGTAAGTTTATTTACAAAATAGTATAGTTTAGGGGGGACCGGCGGGGGGTTGGAACCACACTACGTGTCTGGCAATGAGCAGCGCAAGTTATAATAGTGCTACGAACAATATATGAAAATATGGAGTTTCTTAAAATAACGAATTTGGTATGATTTTTTTTACACCTTTGTTACCTGGTACCTGCCAAAGGAACCACGATCCAGGTTTCATATTTGGGGATCGTTCTTACCTGTGTTGGGGACACACATACAAGAACTTTCACGTTTATTAAAATGACGTATGTCTGGCAGTCGTGGGCTCTTGGGCTAATAGGGCTGATGAAAACTGATGTTAGGGATGTGTGTTTTGTTGTTATAGCATGTTTTTGCAACCCATTTTTCTAAAAAAAAATGTTTTCAAGAAATTTGTACAACAAAAGTTCTCCATAAAACTTTGACACATTTTTTTTTTTCAAAAATATAATATGGTTTCAGGAAATTTGTACAACATAAGTTCTCCATAAAATTTTGAACCCATTTTTCTCAAAAATATGATATAGTTTCAGGAAATTTGTACAACATAAGTTCTTCATTACAATGGGTACTTTTCATATCTTAGACGCCCTTCACGACTATTATACCGGATTGTGTAGGTTTTATAAAACAACACACTAATGTAATCACATTTCGCTGAATACATTTCAATGTAATGAGGCCGGGGTGAGCCTACCGTCCTTCGGATTTGGTTTGTCATTGGTGTTCCCATCACCAGAGAATTAGTTTCCGAAATATAAATTGACCCAAGACCCTTTTCTTATTTTGAAGTGATATTAATGTTTCATTTGTCGTCCACAGAGGATAACAACGTTCAAGAATCTACTATCAGGAAAAAAGGCGGAGAAGAGTAAAGGCACAACTGTCGTGAACTACCAGAACGGGAATGTGAACTCTGTGGAGATAGAGACAAAGACTGAAGCGCTGCAAATAGATAACAAGTTAGTAGTTTTATTCTAAACAACTTTGTCCGGTACATTCTTATTTCTGTTCAGAGACTTGTGTGAGATTTATGCATTTGAAGCAGAATCAAGAGAATACCAAAAGGCACAACAAATCGCTTGTTATGTCTTTTAAATAAAAAAACCCAAATAATTACAAAACAAAACCCACAAAAAAAATTGCAACCATTATATAAACCATTATATTTATTTTTTTTCTTATGGATGATAATGGAATGATGCACCCGCTTGCGCTAACGGATTTCGCTGGCGGGGCACCAGTGGAGGATGATAAGATGAGCATGAGGTCAATTCAGTTATTCCATCGTGTTAAATTTGCTATTAATTTATAACAAAGGTTTCTAAGGGGAACTAGTTGGAGGTCAACCTGGCATGATACCTATATTGCTAGAAATGTGGTTATTATTCCACATACTAGTTTATAATATTAGTGTCATATACAATTATATTGTACCCGCGACTTCGCTTGGAATTTAACTTTATTTATCAAAAATAAAAGTGGCCTAAGTTACTCCTTATTACATCAGCTACCTGCCAATAAAATTCCCGTCAAAATCGACCCAGCCATTTCAGAGTTTAGCCGGAACAAACAAACAGACAGAGAGACAAAAATTGTAAAAACTTATGTACAGTATATTATACAGTTATATTCATATGAATATAAATACTGTACATACACCATTTTTATGCCATGCATATGCATGTAGTAAAAAATGGTTATTTCAATATTACAAACAGACACTCCAATTTTATATATATGTTTAGGTAATGAAAATGTTTTTAAGGAAGCAGGATTTTTACTTTCAGTAAGGATAAATTAGTGATGCTGTATTGTTTCAGATTACTCTACGAGTCTGGTGGCACTCTATCCGAGTTGGAGTGCGCGAATCACGACCACCCGCTTAAGGAGGATGTCAACGTCCCCCGGAAACCGAACAAGATACCACTCATCACGGAGGTAAATCAAATCAATTCAAATATTAATGTAGGACAATCATTTATTCATGTAGGACATTTTAACCGCTTATAACGTCAAGTTTTTAGTATTAATATTTTTCCCTACCGTCCAGTTCAGTATACAGATTCTATTGAGAACTACCAAGAAACTCAACTAAATTTAAATTTTTTTGAAAGCCAGTTTATTTACAATGTACAATTCTATATGTGTCTATGTGTAACATTAAATGAAAATCCCGTCCATGATCAACTCTTGCCATGCACTTCTGTCATTTAAGTAATATTTTAGACTTTGCTCAATAAATACTATTTAACAGATGTTTTTAATTTATTTGAAGGTAACTGTGTGCTTTGTGTCTGTGTCTTTATTGCACTTTGAAATACAGTTCTAAACTTAAACATATAGAGAGTGAGCAAAGGTGGACTTATCTCTAAGAGAGATCACTACCAGTCAACCCAACAATGTGGCATAGCTAGTATTGAGAGTAATTTATTGTAAATTTTTGTACCCATTCCGATAAAAGATCCATTGACTTTTTTTAAATGATATAAGCATCGTTTATAAATTAGATAACTATGAGGTTTTTTATTATCATAGACTTATTACATTGTTCTAACTCTTGATTTGTCTATGTGACTATAATTCCCGGATAAAGCATTTCTTTAACTATATAAAATTTTGACTCATCGGCCTCAATAGCATAGTGGTTTAGTGAACTCACGACCGACAGAAGAAAAGCTGTGGCTTCTGATGGTCGTGGATTCGATTCCTCGCAAAATAAAGAAAGAAAATTGTTTAATTGGTACACTGAAAATAATTTTTAAAATTAAATTTACATTTTATATTAATAATTAGAGAAATACAAACATTTATATTCATAACATACATTTAAGTAATTCTATCAGTCGTTTAGTACCCACAGTACGAGTTTTGCTTTATTATTATTATTATGTAAAATGACTTTTGTTTATATCCGCCATTTTAGAGTCTCTCAGTAAACGAATGGTGATTAGCAAATTTTCTGTAAAAATCTAGCGCGCGGACGAAATAATACCTGTGAGTCTGCCGGAGTTAGAGCGTGAGGTGAACACCGTCGCTCTCGACTGGAAGAGTATCAAGAGCGTCACCGAATGTAGCTGTTCCACTCCACTCGACCACTTCAGCAGGAAGGTAAAGTCTGATAAGATCATTTATTATCTACTACTACCTACTCGCCCCGGCTTCGCACGGGTGTACATGTATTATATGTATAAACCTTCCTCTTGAATCACTCTATCTATTATAAAAACACTTCTAAATCCGTTGCGTAGTTTTAAGATTTAAGCATACATAGGGACGGATAGACAGCGACGGCGACTTTTTATACTATGTAATTATGATAACTTCATAATTACTGTTATGGAATCGACAGTTTATGACGGTCTTTAGGATCTTGCGGTTTAGCCCACCGCATTACTACCGGTGGTCGCGGGTTCGATTCCTCGCACGCGTGCAAACATTTGTATACATGAGTATAATTGCGTATTGGTATCGGTGTTGTCTATGTATATGTATTTAAAAAAATAACACAATAACACAAGCTCTGCTCTCCTGAGTTTATAAATACAATAAATTTCACAAGACCTTTTCTATTTTATAATAAGCTTCTTTGCGACATTCGAACCTTTTTCTGGCAGATTTAAGACAGACAGATTCTTATAGATATACTGTACATGACTTTTTCTGGCAGATTATTGTAAAACCTTACGCAATTCTCATAAAACGAATTGACTAACTATAGTTAGACACTATTTAGGTGCTGCGTACACTTGTAACGTAGATCACTAGCTTGTAGCTTAGAAGTAATCATAATTGGTGAGTGGTGAGCATCACACTGACAGTGGTTTGGTTCCGCAGCACCACTGTTGGGGCTGCGGCGCGGCGGTGTGCACGCGGTGCGTGATTGCTCGGGCTCCGCTGGCGGCCCTCGCCGGGCCTCGGGCCGCGCCCCTGTGCGCCGCTTGTGCCGCCGCGCCCTCCACGCCTACCACGCCGGCCACGCCCGCCACTCTCGCTACACTCCCCGCTCCGCAAGGTACAATGTTCATTTATTTTCTATATATAAAATTTATATTATTCCTAGTGACATAAGTCTTAGATACCACAGTGGATTATTTAATTATTGACTAATTTTTAGTTATTATATTATATTTTTTAAGCTTTTTAATTTTAGGTTATAATTGTACAATTAAGTTATGTAAATGATATAATAAGTTAATAATTAAATAATCTACTGTGGTATCTAAGACTTTTCTATATATTAATACGTGAAGCAAAAACTTTGTACCCCTTTTTACTAAAATTGCGCCGACCCTCCGTCGGCGCATGTATGTATGAATTTTGTACACTTATAATTTTTATTGAGAAGGAGTGCAGAATGTTAATATATTTTTTTTTTAATTATGCAAAAACAACTTTCATTGAATAAGAAGAATATCACACATACAACCATGTATTTGACACACACAAGCATAGAAATCTTTGACTATAGAACCTTAATAATGTTCAAAATTTACCTTTCTGTTAATTTCATAACACAATTAAAATACATATTCTATCTCTTTTTCAGACATCGTGACGTCAGCAAACTAGAAAATTTAATAACGTAAACAAATTTGGACGTATGGACAATCATAATGCAGATGTTACCAGAATTTTGGAATTCAGTATATAGTCTTTTTTATTTATTGTTTTACGGCTCTGGATACAAATCCTTTCGAACTAACTTTAACAAGCATACTAAACTCGTCTACAAGATAGATTGTAGATGTTACAAGCATTTGTAAACACAATATATAGTCTTTTTTATTTATTATGTTTTACGGCTCTGGATACAATTTCTTTTGAACTCAACTTTAAGAAGTGCACAAAACTCGTCTACAAGATAATGTTCCTATACCGAATGAATGATACTCGATTGAAAGACATTATTAATTATTTTTTAATTAAAGAATAAGGAGTGGTGCACATGACTGCAGTAACGGTACACGTTGGCTGATGGCCCATCAGTAAAGCATGATATGATGATAAACTCGGCAAGCTTATCATGAGTAAATTAATTAGGAATTAAATAGATTAAATAGATGTTTTCCAGCAGTGACTGCCTGTCCGTTGATATAGACGTTGCTACTAGCTACTAGTGGGTATACTAATCCCCAGTATTGACATATTATGAGCGGGGTAGGTACTAGAACTCGTTCCGCACATTGCTGTTTAAAAACGGGAAAGGTAAATAGTACCCATTTATAATGAGTCATTTTAAGTGACACAAGGGGAAAATATATATACATACTAGCTTTCCCGGTAAACGTTGTTTTACCATATAAATTAAAATCGCTATTAAAAAATAGGGGTTAATACTAGAAGGGTGAAAATTTAAGTTGTATATATTTTTCAATCCTAAATAATAATAAAATAAAATACTATATGTCGAAAGAATAAAAAAAAAATATATTTAGGGGTGAATATCCCTTACCACTTAGGGTTATGAAAAATAGATAGTAGCCGATTCTCAGACCTAGTGAATATGCATATAAAATTTTATCAAAATCGATCAAGCCGTTTGGGAGTATGGTAATTAACATTGTGACACGAGAATTTTATATATATCTAAGATAATAATATATATATTTATTAATACGGGTACAAATACCTGCCCCGCTCATAATATGTTAACTATACCCTACCACATTAACAATATTAGATATGATATTAAAAGACAGATATATTCTTTTTTCTGCGATTTAGAGTTCGATAATTGTACAGAAGCGACGGCTACCACTTGCCATCAGGTGGCCGTAGACTTGTTAACAGTTCTAATTACGTAGAGAAAAGTTACACCTATTAGCTGTCTTTACACGTAAGCTCTTTCGCGAATCGGTTTTCACGCAGGAAATAATGCGCATGTATAGATAGAGCTATAGACAAAGACAACCAGAAAAACTGCACCACTAGTGAGCGCATTACCGCGTTCTTCAATCGTGCGTGCTTTGGTGTCTTTTTGTAATAATGAATTATTATGGCAAAGACAAAGTGAGCGCATTCCCGCGATCAATCGTTCGTCTTTTTGGAATAATTTATTTTCCATACCATAATGGATGACAACTAACTATAGAGCCGAAATACAATTATAGAGTTATTGATAATTTATGAATCTTAAACTTGTCTATGGATAATAAATCTATCGATAAAAAAAATTGATATCACTTGTAACGTATGGCCTATCATTTGCGAAATAGCAATCACACGATTTTGCATGCTCCTGAACGCTAGTGAAAGAATGTATCGCGTAAAGACAGTTATTTAAGTATTTTTTCTCCAATCAAATTTAAACTTTCCCTATTATTGTTACTTTAGTCAAGTAAATGTTAGTACAATAGTCGGCGTCTACAAATTGTAATATATTAGTTTTATATTAAGTTTAAAAATGTAAGAGGCATAATTTGTTAAGTTTTATATATTAATTTCTCGTTGTAAATAATTATACTGTATAATAGAATTTAATTAAATAATTATGATATATCAATTAATTGAGAAATGTTAAATATATATATATGGACATAGAATATTGATTTTATCTTTCTGTAATACACTTCAATTAAAAAAATATTTACCACATTTCATGCCTGTAATAGTATGTTATTACTCTGTAGGCTCGATGCGAGCAGTTTACATCAACAAGGCACCATCGGCCACAAATAAACCGCACTCAACATTGTGTGACTACTAAACACAAATTAACTAAATTCCTTTACACTTAATAATGTGTAAACAATCCTTAAAACTTAAAAGGTTTCTATTATTTTGGAATTAATAGAATTTATCTAATTACACTTGCACTTAACAAAGTGTAAACAGTCCTTAAAACTTATTTAATGGATTTATATTATTTTAGTCCCAAACAATCAATAATAGGCGTCCAAGCAATATACAAGTTCTATTTAACGCCTAATGATGCCTCGTAAAGAGGCTAAACCCGTGTCGTAATAAGAATTGTAGATTTATTAATGTTTGGATTTTGATCACATATGGAGAAGGTCATTTTTTCAGGTTTTTGGTCAGATTTCCGTACTAAAATTTACACACGCTAATTATAGCGGAAACAAACTAAGATTGTTTGTTAATGTTAATATTATAAATGCGAAAGTTTACGAGTATGTATGGATGTTTGTTACTCTTTCACGCAGAAACTACGGAACGGATTTTGTTGAAACTTTACAGTCATTTAGCTTAGGTATACATCAGAATAACACATGCGCGTGAAACCACTGGCACAACTAGTATAATATAAATCCATTACGTAATGAAATAGACTTTCACAAAATAGTTATTAAAAAAATCTGTTTTCTAAGCCATCGTTAGTATTTTATTACTATAATTACAGTAACGAGTAAAACTCTAACAATCAATTAAGATAAACGATTGGAAAAAATATTTACATTTCATAATAGAACGTGTTTACAAAATGTTTTATCGTACGGTGATATTATTTGTTTTTACTGTATTCTGTAATGTGGGTTCAAATAATAATTTAGATGAACAAAGAATGATGGGCGTTGACACTATACATGATGTTAATATTGATAAGGACACAATCATTAATCACAATATGAAATTGGAAAGAAAAGAAAAAAATCACGTTAAAAAAGGTAAAAAAAAATCAAAAATCGTATATTCACATAGGACATTATTATTATGGTTTACGCTGGCGGGGACCAGTGATGAATGATAGGATGAACATGATGTCAGGTCAGTTAGCCCATCGTAACAAATTCACGAGTAATTTATTAACGATAGTAACCAGAAGGAAATATGCGAAGGTCAACCTGACATGGTACATGTTCCCCCCAATTTGGGATATTTACTATGATATTATTATTAGCTCCTGATAATTAATATTTCACTAGTGATTTATTGTAGGTTTGCTCGGCCTTTCTAATATGAGAATGTTTAAGTTATATCATCAGTGCCTTAGAGTGTGAGTGAGTTAGGTAATCTGTTAGGTCAGTTTAACAGGACAAGTCTCTTTATCTCGACTTACTAATTTTTTTCTTATCCCTTTCAGACCCAAGATTTTTTTTCTTTCATATTAAATATATTTTCGTGTTTTATGCTGAAATAACTCTCGTGTTTTACGAAAAAGATAATAAAAAAATTCTATACCAAACCATAGTTCTTAAAAGTACATATCACGATCGTGAGTTCTAGGTCTCACTTCCACCTACGTACGATCGTGACTTCAAAGTTAAAATAAAAATAAATAAAAAACTTCATAGTTATATGGATGGTTTAGGAAGTAGTCATTAGCCCGATATATTAGGATTGTTTCAGTATGTATTATGCTAGATATTATGTATATTAGGTTTGATTTTGAGTGTAAAAATATTTATTTACGTAAATAAGTTTTTTTTTTTATATTCACTATAGCGATAGAAATAAAACTACAAATTAATCACAGAAGTTATTCATTCCTTTGTATTTTATAAATCACAGTCAAGTTACAATTAACTTAATTTTCAGAACAAAAACATTCAAATATTCTTTTACAAATCAGTACAGTACTAAATGACCATTTTAGCTTATATTTTACTTAAATGTATTAAACAAAAACAAAACGTCCTTTAGACAAAAAAACAAAACAAGATAAATCTTTTACAACAATTTTTTTTCAGTCTTTAATCAGGAACTTAATTTAAGACATAGTAGTTAAAAGTCTTATTTATTATGGTAAAGGTTAAAACAGTCTTTGTCGCGACTAAGGCACAAGTAAACATTGCATTTGCGGCATCTTATTTTAGAACGAGAGGAACAACTCTCCAATCGACATTTACGTGGAGCTTTTATATCATCAAATACAGGCAAGTGATCATAGCCATCATATCTCATTCCGATCGAGGGATTGTTTGCTGGTCTATATCTGCTTGACAGATTTACTTGTACTTCAACTAAAGGAGTTGATTGGAGACGGTCTCTGTCAGGGGTGTTCATAAAAGTTTCAGCGATTTCAAACCTGAATGCAAGTAAATCCTGAATACGATTTTTTGGAATACCTTTGGCTAAGGAATCGCATCTGTAAAGACGCCAAGCGTTTACTACAGCTAAGTCCATAAAATAGAGTATTACTTTTAAAGTCCACTTACGGGTCTTCACATATGTCCTATAGTACTCCATAGATTGGTCTAGGACATCAACTCCACCCATGAACGTATTATAAAACATTACAATTTTTGGAGCGTCAACATCGATGTAGTATTTCGCGTTCTTATCGTATCGTTTTATGTTATTTATCGCCGTACCACCAGTACAGTTTGACGCTGTAAGAACTGCTTTACTGTCCTTCCATTTCACCAAAACTATGCCATTGGACACTCTTTGGTCAATGTCTCCCCTTCGCATCTTTTTGTCTTCTTTGAAGCTTATCTGTTGTCGTTCTGGAATACGATTGACCATGATTGTTCCTGTCCCATGATATCCAAGTCGTTTCAGTTCGTCCAACAAAGGAATGGTAGTAAAGTATCTGTCAAAAAAGCTTATACAGCTTCCAGGAGGAACACTCTGAATGAGGCGGAAAACTACAGCCGGTCCAAGTCCAAGGGGGTGCGAAAGTACAGGATTGTTCCTATAGTAAATTTCGAAATCTATCATTAGCCCTTCATTAGTGGTAACAACAAAATTTTTAAGACCCACTGGGCGCGGTTTATTTTTCACTAGTTGCCTAAGGTGGCACTTTCCTGTGAAAGGGATCATTTGTTCGTCGACAGAAAACTTACCAGGTGTTCTTAAGATTTTATTACATCCTTGTTTTACTGCGTCAATTACTGGTTGCACCTTCCAGAGAGGATTATCCCTGTAACCAGCAGGCGGAGTATCTGATTCCACTACATGTAGATTATTACGCAGCAACATAAATCGGTCTCTGGTCATTGCAGACACTATTGCTTCAATGCAAATTTTTTGTCTCCAATACATAGCAATTCTAGGATAAGATAAAATTCCCATCATTAGATGAATACCGTATAATTTTTTAATTTCTGGTTTAGTGCAGTTAAATATCCTGCCAGTTTTTCTCGTATAGTACACATTTGTACAGACTGACATTTGTTCAAAAAAATCATCATTGTAATATTCACTAAAATATTCAATAGGCGACCGAACTATATTCGGTTCTGGGTGGCCAACGTAATCGTGAAATGTATCAATAAACTTAGTTTTTTTCCAAATGCGTTTACGCCGAGGAATTTCTATTTTTACAGGTTTTTTTCGTTTTTTGGACGGACCTGCCTCCGCATTATCTTGAAGGCTAGTAGCACTTCTTTTTACGCCTAGTTGTGAACGTGTGAGTTCAGGAACGCCAAATTCTTTGTCTGATGCAGTTACCTCATTTTCCGCCACCGGTGGGACAAATTCTTCCTCATCGGCATCATCTAATTCTAGATCCGAGCAGTTGCCATCCTCCAACAAGCTTAGTACGAGGTCGTCAGTTAACGGTAATCCTAAAAAAAACAAAATATTAAGAAAAAATAAACAAGATCACCATCGTGCGTAAGTACAATTACAACCCAGAGCTCACGATCGTACTATCAGAAATTTACAATGCAATATATTTATAATTAGTAGTATTTTAGTTTTAATTCTACATATTTCTAATAGTTTAATCTATTAAGTATATAATAAAACGATAATATGAAATAAAAAACACAAAATAGTAAATAATTTCGATAAAACTTACTGCGTCCTGTTCGGGGGTCAAGGAGCCAAGCCATCTTTCCGGCACGCACGAGACTACTGCACCACCTAACCGCTAAAATGATTTCTTATTGGCTGGTTTAGAAACTCGCTATTATGTTATTTCGGCTTCGTGTGTAAAAATGAATTGTGCGCGGTTTTAGAATTTTTTAAAGTTACAACTTACGCCCGTATAGCTCAGGTCTGAAAGGGTTATATTTGTACTTACAAATTTTATAAAGAGGTTCGACTAGATTTTTGTATGTTTGCTTGTTTACAATGAGTAAGTAAATAAACTTCGATCTCTCACGAATGGCAAGTTATTAGGGGTTAGATACATATGTATCAAAACTAGCTGACCCGCTCAACTTCGCATCACACTTCGACACTTGTCTAATTTACATACATCACATATCTTTTTAAATTATAGCCTATATGTTATTCTGATGTATTAGTTATATTACTGTAAAGTTTCATCAAAATCCGTTCAGTACTTTTTGTGTAAAAGAGTAACAAATATCCATCCACAATGACAAACTTTCGGCGTTTATAATATTAGTAAGATTACTGAGTATTTCGGTCAGCCTCTTAACATTAGGCACACCGTATGCTTGAATCGTAATATATTGCATAAAAATGTTACAGCAAACCTTAACGAGGAAAGCGATCCGGATTGGTCGTACCGTGCTATACCACAAGAACTAAGCGCACACGTAGATCAGTTCAAGCGTAATATGACCGAATGCTTAAAAGAGGTTCAAGCTAACGACAAAAGACCAGTGAAACGGTTATCGCCAAATAAAGAGTCGCCTGTACACGGCGAATGTTTGATTGCATGCGTGCTGAAACGTAACGGAGTGATTGCAAGTGGAAAGATCAATAAAGGTTCGTTGAAACTTGTTTCATGGTCGGTTCCTATTAGATATAAAAGAATTTTTATTTGTAGTATATGTAATATTATGTTATCTGTGGTAGTAGTTAGTAGATACATATAGGCTTAATTCGAATTAATATACAATACAGATTATTTAAACCAATGCAATACAATATGGGTAAACAAACCTACATGTGCGCTATAGATATTATGTTATCTGTGGCTATAGAGATACAAAAAGCCTCAGTGTAGAGAATCACTCAAGGAGCAAAATATTGATTTTCAGCTATTTCTCAAGGATGAATGTAGTATTATTCAAAATAAAATAAAAAACTTGTTCACAAAATTTAATACGCTTACCTAATACTAGTTTTAAAATTAATTAAGAACCGCTAGATGTCCTCTCGATGGTCTAATGTTATGTCACACGGTTTTGTTTTCTCCGTGAGGGTAGTTGTCTTAATGGATGATAGTGAAATAATGCACTCGCCTGCACTAATGTTATACATTGGCCTGATAACTGTGGAGTATGATAGGAAGAGGTCAGGTCAGTTTATCCATCCACCTGGAAGTAGACCTGTCATGATACATTGCTTGGGATCCCACTACTAAAAATTCCCTTCCCACCGTGGATGGAACAACTTCACAGAGTTTCCATATCAAATACTAATAATAGATTACGTAAATAAACCATGTATCTTGTCGACAAATGAATGACGTTACTATATTTTCAGCCAATTTGATTTCACTGGTGAGTAAATTTTATGCAAAAGATACGAAGCTCATGAAGAAACTTGAAAAGAATTTGGATCGTTGTATAGAAGTAAGCGTACATAATAGAGACGAGTGCACTATGGCATCACAGCTAAATACTTGTACCAATGAAATTATGATCAATAATAAACATAAAGTAATGTTGAATTACTAATAAATTAAACATTGTAGCAAATATAGTAACTTTTAAATATTGTAGATTTTATCGTTCCTTCATACAGACTTCATAAGTGTTACTTACTTAATACAAATATCTACCAATAATCTAAACTAAGAGTGAACTATGCGCAGACAAACCAGAACAGGAATTGTGCAGGACAAAGAACGTAAAAAACTAAATAAATAAAGCTTTATAACTAGGCATACGTGAGGACTAAGGAACACTCATCATCATCAAGGAACATTACATATATTCTAAAAATAAAAAAAAGTGGGTACTTATGTATTATTATTATAATTATGCATACGACATATTCCTATATAGTTCTCTTGTTTAAGAAAACCGCTTGTATTTTCATAAAGGTCGTAAATTAGCTGTGCTCGCGATTTCAACCGAATGAAATTTATAGCCTGTTATTTTGCTGTATAAGCTATGTTATTGTAAAGTTTTATCAGAATCCGTTCATTATTTTTTGCGTGAGAGTATCCAACATAATTAAACATCCATATATCCAGCCATACTCACAAACTTTCGCGTTTATAATATTAGTAAATTACAGTAAAACATAAATACTGTATTACTGATTAAATACTGAGTATTTTTAATATTTTTTCATTTTATATCTAAGCAGTTACTCGTTAGTTTGTTTGTTTAATTAATATTATTATATTATATTATAATAATTTAACAACAGCATAATATAGGCAGATTACTCCTACCAAGATTGATTCCATTCAAATTGTCAGTTTAATTTCATGGTAAGCAAATACAATATAATATATTACAATTTACCATATTTTATTGTGTATAGATGATTTTAACAACTACGTTAGTGTAAACACAACAAGAAATAGCCAGATGTTATCCTGGTCCACAGAAAAACAAACTGTCAAACTTCTGTCAGTCTCTCAATCAAAAGTCATAATTGCTACTCTGTAACTTTTGCATTTCTGTTTCTGTAAATCTGTATCATTCCTTGTCTTAGCTGTACTGTACTGTACACATATTTCTGTTAGCGTTATTATATTTAAGGATTTTGAGGTTTACTATATTTCTCTTCTCTTTGGATTGATTTTAATTTGTGGTCTGTTTTCCTATTTTAAATGTATTTTTTATTTTCTTGAATTGTCAGAATGTTCATCAATTTTGGTTCGATGTCGACATCCATCACTAATTTGTGGCTCCTATTGCAACTGTTGAAATTTCCTACAATAAAACTGTCTCGGTCGTCACTATCTTATAAATAATACTGTAGGTTCTATAGTATTGTCGTTACTTGTGGTTCTATAGGAATGTTTGTTATTGTGGGTGTTCAAAGAAAAATGCAAACCAATGGATACAAATCCTATCAAGTTTAATTGAGCATTCGTTCATATTAAGAACAATCATATGTCACAAGTAGTTCAACCCATACGAAAATCGTAGCTACAGGGTACAAGATTTTTGATCTGTTGGATAGATTTGTTGTATTCGACCACAGAAATAGGTCAAATTGGGTATTAGAGTTGAAAATTAAGTCAGTATATAAAATTTATTTTTCTTCACACATGGGTTAAGATTGGTAACCCTGATTACATTCGTAGTATTATCATTGTATGTTATTGAATTTGATAGATCAAAGTTGTGTTTTATACAATACTAGCTACCTGGTTTCGCATGGGTGTACATGTATTATGCATATAAACCTTCCTCTTGAATAACCCTATCTATTGCAGAAAACTGTATTACAATTCATTATGTAGTTTAAAAGATCTAAATGAATAGATGGTGGAAACAACTTTCTTTTATACTATTTCAAGATTAATCATGTATAATTAGACATTTCTAGAAGGAATCAAGAGAAAAATTGACAAAAGTGAAGTCACTATGACCATATATATCACATGTCTCAAAGATTGCATAAGGTAAAGGAGAACAGTATAAATGTACAAGTTTAAGTTTTGAATGTGCCTAATGATGGATGTGTATGTAATGGAGTTTTATAGTTGGCAGGAACCATATTTATATATTAATGTTGTGGGTAGGTTATAACCAAGCAAGAGTGACTGATTTTGTATCTGCTGTTAACACAATTTTTTTTTTATCTTTTTGTATCTTGCAATTGGCTCACCAAGTTTTTATCAGATTTGTTGTGGGACTGTGGGATGGGTGAGAACTGTACCTCCAGTAAGGAAACTGTCTCATTTTGACTTTAACCCTTAATCAAATGGATTTTTTTTTTAAATAAAATTATGAATTAAACATGGTTTCTAAGTAAAAGGGCTTTGTAGATTTCAAAAAAAATATCATTTTTTTTATAAAAAGAGGGGAAATGGGGTGGGAAATTATTTCCCATTATCCAGTATGGAAAAGCAAAATATAGTTAAGTGGGAAATTATTTCCCATCATCCGGAATGGTTACATTTTTTTGGGACATTTTTACTACAAATTCTATACATATTACTTACTCCTACTTTACTTGTTTATTTTTTTTATATAAATATTCAATATAACATGATTGAGTGATTGAATAAAATTATAAAAATAAAATGAAACTAGAATGTTACAAATAATATTTTATTAAGAACTTTTCAAATACTATATGAAAATAACATTACTGAGTAAGAACTGTGTGAAAGGTTTTGAAACAGTTTTTGGCACAAAGAGCTACTCCACAGGAGGAACATACTATTTTTGTCCTCTGTTCTTTGTGCTTTGTGCTGCAAAAGCGACATCTTTTGTAAGTGGCACTTTCTTCAGGCAAGTGTATGCCAACATTTAGCAGCCGAATCTCATCGGGAACGCCAAACCTACCACCTTTTTTATTTTTTTTAAAAACTACATCTGTTTGTGTGTGAGTTTTTCGTGTCGTGTGATTATCTATAAGGGCACGTGCTAACCGTAGTCTGAAATCACGGTGGCCATGCAGGGTCGGGACATGGGAGTAGTTGTACGTTATGTAGGCATTAATTATAGATGCATCGAACAGAAAGAAGAATAGTCGCATCCAATATTTCCTGGATTTCCGGTTTATAGGGTATGACGATCTAAAATGGTCAAAAAGATCTACTCCGCCCATACTGAGCGTGTATGAAGCAATTGCAGCCGGGCAGAGAATGTCAGCTCTAGAGCCATCCTTTTGGGTTCTTTTTATCATCCTTGTGTCTAAGGGCTGATGTGCTGTTGTCAGGACAGTAACTTCCTTTGTGTCAAGCCATTTAATGGCTGTGATTGGCTCTGCAGTAACCGCTGAAAACTGATGTTTATCTAATCGCAATGGTTTCGGTTGTTTTTTTTTATCATATCAGGTAAGTCCTTTCTGTTGCATCTGACTGTTCCCACTGCATAAATATTTTTATCGTAAAGATCCTCCATGAGGTTACAGCTAGTAAAAAAGTTGTCAAAGGCAATTAAAGTGTTTCTTGGTAGTTACTGCAGAGTTTCATGACAACATTGTAGCCTAACCCTTCATTTTCGGTGCTGTCGCCTTTTCCTGAATACACTTCGAATTGGTACAAGTACCCAGTTTTGGCGTCACATCTTGCCCTTACCTTAAATCCTCTTTTGATGGGTTTTTTCGGCATGTATTGCTTTAAGGAGCTGCGCCCTTTAAATTTGACCATACACTCATCAATCGATTGTACTTCTGAATTGTATGCCTCTCTTTGATAAACTTTGTTGAGTTCTGTGAGGAGGGGTCTCAATTTAAATAATTTGTCATATTCAGGGGAGTTTCTTGGTGGTTCCATCTCGTTATCATTTAAGTGGAGGTTTTCTGTAATTTTTTTAAATCTTACTATTGGGAAAACCTGGGCAATTTCCTTATTGTAATAAAAGGGATCTGATGACCAGTAGAGTTCCATGTCCGGTAAAGGATTTAAGCCCATAAGGATTAAAACTCCTAGATACGCCTTAATATCTTGTAGAGTTACAGGTTTCCAGTTAGTACTATTTTTCTGACGGGCGTATCTGTTGGTTTGTTCCACAATTATTACCATCAGTTCATCAGGAAAAAGCCGCTCAAAAATACTTAGAGGTGATGTTTTATGAGTATCGTTAGCCTTGGGCTTAAAACGTTTTTCGAAAAGAGGAACTTCATGGTTTTCCGATTTTATCTCCCATACTCTTGGCTGAGAACGATCTCTGCGTACTTCGTTGTTAGTTTCAGACTCTTGCCCATCATCTGCCAAAAACTCTTCCATGGGGGCATCAATGACATCAAAATTTTGCTGAACTTCATTAAATGTGTGAACGTCAGAAGGCTGATCATAACATTGCTCAGTTTCAGTACCTAAGTGAGTTGGCAAAAGACTGTTGTCTGTTTTTGGTGTGTTTGTGAAATGCGATGTTTCATCTAAGACTGTCAGTAAGGCATCCGTTGAAATCTGTTGAGTTTGCATAGGGGGAGAAGGTGGGTCTTGTTTGTCTCCCGTCAATCCAAAGCCAAAGATATGTTCAAGACGTTGTTCAATTAGGTTATCATCAAGCTGATTTAGGTAACTATCGGAAGGAGAATGAATACTGTTGATAAAGCATGAGTCATCCTCAGAATCTGAGCCTGATAAATCAGACAAGTCGTCTAAATTTTGTACCACCTCTTCTAATAGTTTCTTGGCGAGCACTTTACGTTCCTTTCTTGCGTCCATATTTGAATAGCTGAAAGTAAATTATAAAAAGTTGGCAATTATGTAGTTTTATCAGCATATTGCACAAATAGTTACAAAAGTCCTAAAACTTATAAGTGGCTTCGTTTGGAATAAAGCATAGAAATCACATAAACGCAGTCACAATTTTGCAAAAAGCCACTAATTTGACTTACTCGCTATCGTATTACAAGTTCCTATACCGTTATTATTACAGCTGACAAACAATTTTATATATATATAAAGACACTGATGTTTATCAAAGCAGGAACGAACATTGGGAAATTATTTCCCACCTAATTAAACCTAATAAAATCCAAGAAATATCAGTGCAAAAAGCACAGAAACCGTAAAAAGCATTCAGAAAATAAGTCTAGTTTACATCAATATATTGTTTATGTACTTACCAGATTTTTTTTCTACAAAAATTTTCGAAAGTCCTGCGAGAACCGGTTTTGTGCACCAAAAAATTCAAATTGTGACTTTGACATTGACATACGATGACATTATGCAATTTTGTCCAAAATGTTGCCAAATAAAATATTTAAAAAGTGTGTAAAATTATTTTGTTCCTGGATTGGTACTGATTAGAGTTACCAGTAAAGAAATAATAAAGAAATATTACGGTACTGTCAAGTGGGAAATAATTTCCCAATATTTGAATAAGGGTTAATGTTTCTCATCAGTGAACAAAATCCCAAGAATGGAGTTTTAAAAAATAAATTTGAGCATTATTTTTGGCAACTCTTTTGTATTGTTGGTAACACTACTATTGGTCAACTCCTTTTTTTTTACTGTTTTACTATAACAGTGCTCGTCTAAAATACACGCCATACATATCACAAACCATTTTACTAAAAAACCTCTCCTAAATACCAAGACCTATCCTAATACAGTCTATCAAATCAATCATATTTTATCATCTGCTTCTTCATGATAAGTCCATCGTTTTTGGTCATAAATCATGATTTAGGTAAATTATTTTGCTGATCTCCTAATCAGTACCTACTAATTAGCTATAAGAAACTTGGTAAGAGCTTTGCAGACATGCTTTTAAAATCGTCTGTTTAGTTGAGGGTAGATTTATGGACTTACTCTAAATAAAAAAAAAAGCCATTTTCTTATTGATTCTTCATTGCAAATGGTAATGTGCCTATCAGTAACATTAAATAAGTCATGACCTTGTGACCTCATCTTCTAGTTAGTATTTACTTTTTAATTTCAGGATTTAATAATGTCTGTTAGCCTTATCGATTAGTAATTTTGAATAGTGGCTTAGATAGGGTAGACTGAGATGAATCAGTTCACTTTTTCTTTGAGGTTGAGCAAATCATACTAAACTGTTATATAATGTTATTTTTATTGATTAAAACGTAAGAAGTGACAATTAGCTGTGAAATAAACATTTGAAAACTTAAGTCATTCATATATTTTCTTAATTAGCTATTAAAAACTAAGAGAAGAAAAATATCCAAATCGCCCCAATTTTCGGGGTGAATCGGACACATACACAACATGAGCTTTGATTCAATGACGTGCTTTGAAATCAGTAAAAAAATAATAGTGAACGAATATTTTAGAACAGTAAATGCAGTGCCACTCTCACTGTTTTGCAGATGAACTCTTATTTTTTATCGCAGGCTTTACTTTGTTCTTCGTCTTTTAGGTACATAGAATTTTCTTTGCCCACAGCCTTTTCCTTATTTTCATTGTTCTTATGGATTAAGACGTGGGATACAAGTGAAACGGCCGCTGACTAGCAATGTAGTGATGAACGTTCCCCCCTATTTTAACAATACGAAGTATGATTTAAAATCTAGTATTTTGTTTTAATTGTGACCGTCTACACAATCTGGCAAACATGCCTGAGCGACGATATTGTCCTAGGGAAAATGGACATAGGGCGTCTTAAGTGACCCGATGCACTCATGACAATAATGTTGCGTCCTCGTTCGGCTGAAGTGAGTTTTCCAACCTCCATATGCTAGCTTCCTGGCTTGAATCGTCGTAAGTTCATAATGCATGTTACAATATTTGATAATATAATCAATTAGCAGTTTTTTTTCTTCCATAGAAAAGACTTGACTCGTGTATTTAGCATCAAATGTACGGTTGCTTGACCCTTCACTATCATTGCTTTTTTTGTATTTTTTTACTCGGCTTTCTAATGTTGACAATTTCAAATTGTACTTATCTGCAGCTTTTCTGTATGACAATACTCCTTGCATAACATCCTGTATTGCCGACTGCATGGATTCTTCATCCACAGCTTGTTTATTTGTCTTTTTTGGTTTATAAGTCCGCACCACGTTCCTGTGAAAAAATAAGTATTTAAATATATATACGTACATCGGCTATAGCAAAACACAGGACAAAATTAATAGAAAAATTAGCAATTAACACACTAACACAATAAATTGTACGTACCTACTAGCTGGAGCACATTCGTACGCGTTCAAACGTGCCCTATCTAGTTCTGTCCGAAAGTACCCCACTAACTAAATAACAACAAAATATAATCTCTTTTAATATTTATACGAAAACGTCATAAATTAAGTATTGAAAACGTATCTAAAGTATATTTCGCTACTTACTGATAGAATACTCTACACAAAAACATATTTTATCTACTGTAACAATAGACAAAAGCATTGGTCAAAAATTTACTTACCGAGCGCGAAAACACGTTCGTGCCTGTCACTTCATTCTTAGCAGTGCGAATGGCGCGATATTAGGTTGACGTAAAGTTGGTACCTCGACTCACGCACACATACAAAAGCAAGAGCGTACGTTGTTTCGTTCATGTTTTATTTTGACTGTATGAATGTGCCCCGCGTACGAAGGTAACGATCTTCCCCTCTTGGTATTGGTGAACTCGTTCGTTTGTAATTGACACATCGTTATTTATAATGTTATCATATTCTGTTTCATTTCAACCTGTTTCCTTCTTTAAATCTTTCAAAATTTCTCGTTGATAAAAGGGAGCTCTTTATTGGAAAGTTATCTACATAATCTGGATCCTTCACATTACCATCAGAACAAAAGTTCTCATTAGTATTAGATAAGTCCATATTTTCAATGTTTTCTTTGGACTTGGGAGATAAAATTGTATGTTCTTTTACAGTGAATTGCATGGAAGTTGAAGCGGTAGGTATTTCGTCATTTTTGTTGCTATCCTCATGACTTCTATTTATAATATTCACACACACAATTAGCACTTACTTTTTCGTGAAGAACGTAGTAGAACTAAATGCTGCACTTTTCATAAAAAAAGGGAACAAAGTTGTAATAGTTATTATCCTGAATAATCACATAACTAAAAATGGAACAGTATTGCTGAAAATATGACTAAAGTTTCACTCAATTATTTAGAATTATGATTTATTCACAAGAAATTTTTGTTTTACTCTGTGCAAAGAATAATAGCAACTAGTGAACGTCGTTTGTTGCACAAAAATGGCATCGTAATGTATTTGTTAATTTTATCTATTAAAGGTCAAATACATTCTCAAACAAAACATCATAGATCATTTAAGTTGATCAACCCTAATATAGGCACTTAACATTCCACTTGTATCAAATCAGGTGACATATGGTGATCATTTAAAAAAAAACTTCCTCTGGTTTAAAAATAATGTTATCTTTTAAAGATGTAGGAACGGCATAGGGAAAAATAGGTGCTCCAAGTAGAGTGAAATTTGTTCTACCTATTAACTTAATACTTACTTACTTAATATGGGTAATAGTGACTGTAATTGACCTAGTAAACTTTGTGCATTACAAAGAAATAGTGAATAATTTTTATTTTCATTGAGGTTAATAATTTACAGGTATTACTCCTAAACTTTATGTAACTTAACTAGTTCTTCATCAAATGTATATTTGTTGTGGTCTTAAAACCCTTAATTGAGGAGAATCGGCAGTAGGAGAAATTAAGGTGAATTCAAAAGGACGGCTATCTCACCTCCTCCTTTTACACCGAAATCTAACTTTTCGGGGTTCAAATTCCGAATTTAATTTTGTTAAAATATGTTGAATAGCAATTTTGGTGGCCAGACATCGTAGTGTTGATCCAACAGCAATTGGTCTCACCCGGCCGTCCTTTTTGGTGAGGGCAATGAGGTTCGCGTAAAGAATGGGAATTATTTCTGGATTGACATTACCGGAATACATAAAGTTGATTAGTGATCGAATTTACAAGGTATTTGCATCACCTACAGAATGCGACGTTAAGTCTTTTAAATGTTGGGTTGAGATTCCATCCAAACTTAAAAGATAAAATGGCATCCGTAACATCTTTGTTTTAAATTCGAAGGCACGCTTGTTGCACGCAACACCCTGCTGTTAGTGGGTCGAGATAATATGGGTTACTTGAGCTGGAAGATGATTTGTCCGTAAGGCCTGAAGGGTGTCGGGGGTATCTGGTGATAGCGTCGTTGGAGAACAAAATCGCGAGTGGCACCTTTGTGTTCTCCGTTACAGATTTTATTTTCAATGAGCTTGGGGCATATTAGAGGTGCGGGAGAAGGCAAGGAGTTTAAGGTACAGTCATTCTTAATCTTTTGTGTCAAGGATAAATTCGGTTTATCAGTTTTTATTATATGTACCTAGTGTACGGTATAAAAATAATGATAGGTTCTCCCAGTCTTGAGTACAATTGCTTATGTAACATATCTAGATTAATTGTGACAAACGTGTAGCAACGGTTATTCGAGCTCCTCGAGGGATTCTTTTAACTATGGGTATACTATTTTTCAAGTGGCTAGGATATGTGTGGAAAGGAGTTGGATCGTTGGCTGCAATAAGTAGGCGCATTTGGAATAATGGGATAGATAAGTAAAAGGTAAACTGTTTTGGCTAATACCTTTTCCGTGTGTTTTTGTAGTGTGTACGTATGATGCCTTTCAAAGATTTGAATGACTTGTTGCACTGTGTACAAGTATGGGTCGCATTCGACGTGCAATCACAAGATTGGGTCACGGACTATATTCACAATAGTTAATCACAAAAAAGAATAACTTAAAACAAATTTAAAAACACAATAAAGTAACTTAACCCTTAAATGCATGATAATATGCCACAGGAACAATTCGTTTAAATTCCCCTGGCAACAAATACCAAAACTTATTTTGCCTCTTTTTGAATACAATCACCACTACTAACATTTTCAAAACCTTATATTATGCCATATTTATTAGTGTATTCTAAATCAATCATAATACTCATTTAAACGAAACAGACAGCACATGCTCTATCCTTTATAAATTTACCTGCAAATTTATTTTTAATGTTATCAAATATTTCATTATTAACTCCTGCCTGCCTTAATGCGATTTTTTTCCTGAAGCCAATGTTGGATTATTGATGGAGCAGCATTTTAATACAAGACCTGATTGAATCATAAATTTATATGCAGGTGATGATTTATAATATAATGACATGCAAAAATTGTTATTTTCATCGGTCCATTGCTTTTTAATTTTCTTATTTGTATTGAAGTTAATAATTTACTCCTTAACTTGTGTTTTGATAAATTAATAACATTTTTACCTGTAGCCATAGTAAACTTTATGTATTACAAAGAAATAGTGATTTTGGTTAGTTAGTTGAATCAACGATTGTTACAATTTGCAAGAATCAATAGTTTTGGACGATAAAAAATATGCCACAGG